CCCCCCCCCCTTGTGATAGCAATGAAGTTAAAAAAAAATAAAAAAATAATAACATTAACAATTATTCCAGGGATACTGTATATAATAAGAGTTTGGAAATGCTAGAGAATTGAGAAATGCATTACACTAAAAATAATCCTATTTTAGTCAACTAAAAAACTAAAACTAAAAATGAATCTGATGGCTAACATGCGACTTGGGCACATTTAAAAACTAAAGATCCACACAGTGTGTCTGCAAAGGGCCCAAACACACACACACACCCCCGCAGCTGCTTTAAAAAAACTTACCTTTACAGTACAGCAGTTGTGCTCCTCTCCTGCCTTCCTCCACACTTTGTAAAAAAAGTTTTAAAAACCCTTCCTGCACGTACAGGAACGTACCAACTGTACGGGGGGGGGAGGCTACCGTACCAACTTGCCTGTACATATTAATTTATAGTAAAAATTGCTCGGTCGGAGCCCGGGCCCCCCCAGCCGCCTGGGCCCCTCACATTTGTACCCTGATGTCGGCCTTCCATGTGAATATATTAAAAAGATGTTTATCAGTCAAAATGTTAATTAAAATACATATTTTATTTGGTGGTTACATATTTAGTTTGTTTTTTTGGGTCATCTGACATCCTTGTTTTCTGGGGGTACATACTTCTAAATGACTAATACAATACTAATATATTTTTATCTTTTCCCAACTCTGTTTTAGGTGTTTCTATTAATTCAGAGTGAGAAGATAAAAAATGATTATGTGTACCTGAGCTGGCTTGCCCGATGTTGTAAGTAGTCAGTCTAACTAACGATCATACATTTCTGGAATGCTCTCTTTTACTTACTCATGCTATGTAAAATTACTGATTGGTATTGCTGCCACCTGGTTGTACACTAGGCAAAGCAGAGTGCACAGCCCCATCTAGTGGCTACACCCCATGCAGGGTACGGCACAAGCTCAGGTGTAGCAAGCAGTGAGAAAACTGTTGTAATGGAAGGTAACCTTCCTAAGAACATAAAATAAATACATATGGAAGCGCACTCCTGTAATGTGGACAAGTCTCTCAATTTCTAAGTTTTAGGAAATGGTGTGCATAAGCTCTTCAAAAACAGGGAGAGGAAAACTTTGAAACACAATCAACAAATACAATAAGCTGAAGAGCACAACTACATGAATAAGTACTGGACAGCCTGATGTGACTGGCTGAATGGATTAAATTAAATTCTCTGGGGTCTCGTCAGATCAGCGGTAATTGTCTGTTGATTGCCAAACTGAGAAGTCAAATCTGTCCCCGGAACGCGTACTTGGCTGGCCAGGCCGAGCCGCAGCAGCTGGAGCAGGAGAGGGATGAATGCCCGTCGGCTGAATAACACACTGAGCCGTGTGTTGCTGCGCCGTGTACGGAAAAACCAATGGGAGGTCCAGTGAGTGTTGTGAGTCAGTGCTCGTTTGTCAGAGGGAGATGTGCTCTGATATGGAACCCACATGCAGGCTGGATTGGTGATAGGCTACGTGTTTCGAGGGTAACCCTCTTTGTCAAGCCTTAGAGCGGTGTCTGCTGCGGGAAACTGGATGTCTTTTAAAATTGACAGGGAGGAGGAGTCAAATCCGGATTGGTGCTGTGATAGGCTGAAACGCCAGAGGATGGACTATGAGTCACGAGGGCACCCAGGGAATTAATCATCGGGATCTCTCGTACCTCGGTCTAAATGTCATTCTGGGATCCTTAGTGATCGTTATCATTCTATTGGTTGTTATCACGGCATTTTATAAGTGGATGTTGCTGTTTGTGCATTCCGGGTGGTCTGTTGCTGAACCCCTAAGGGATAGATCTTATATCAAAAGAGATTTATTAAGATTCTGTATTATATTAAAAATAAAAGTAACATGTGAAGGTCCTGCATCATGATGCAAATGTAAAATGAAATAAATAAATGAAAATTAAAATGAAACTATCAAATTTATTTTAAAATATATTTTAAAAAATGGTGATCTTTCACCATTATAAAAAGAGAAAACTATAGCTCTAAAACTGTTATGAGGTGACTACCTCCTCCCAATCTAGATATTGGGGGTAGCACCATTTTTCATATGCATCCACATGGTTCCCCTATGGAACAAGATTAGGGAGCCTATGGACGCCTGATTAATTTTGCGCCAAGGCATGGCAGTATGCCCACTTTATCAGGATCTCCTCTGTGTGTGTGTGCGCACAATCATCTGCATGTCGGGGTGCTACCACAACACTCTTATTGTTTATGATCCTCCATAACCTACATCCCAAGGCAGGGAAAACCAACGTTTTGTTCTTGCTAGTGGTGATATAGTGAATGGAGACACACTAAAGAATAGTATGAATTTCTATTTCTTCATTCAACCCATCAGGTGTTAAAGTATTAAGTTTGTAGATCCACAACGTTTCTCTTCTACACAGTGGATGAAAACATTCTGATGGAGATAAATGTGTGGGGATGTGTTCGATTGCAAACACCCTAAGGTCCTGGATCCTTTTATGATGTTTAATGGTAAAGTGTCTTGGGACGCTGTGTTCCAGGTTGCCCTCAGCAATAAAACGCCTGTGGTCCCCAATCCTGGCCCGCAATGGGCGTATGGTGTGACCAATGTACATCAACATCACAGGGACAAGTGAGCCCATATATCACATGATCATGGGAGCATGTGATAAACTGCTTAATATGATGTACCTTATTGAGATGGTCAATAAACTGGGACTGTCCGTGCTGAATAAACTGACAGGTGAGGCATCTGGGCTTTTTGCATTGAAAGATGCCAACCCTATTGTCAAAGAGAAAGTGTTTGGGTGCACCTTCGGGTGCTTAAAATGAGCAACTCAGTCCCACCCTATTTTTTACATTTTTCGTTTTTCTAAAATTGATCGAGGGTTTGGGAGGTAAACTAGGGCCCAGTCTGGGATCTTTCTGTAGAATGTGCCAATGGTTGTTAACCACCTTTTGATTCGCTTTAAAACTGTTGCTAAAAGTGGTAATCTGATGTCATTCATATTTCGGTTATCATTGCTATTGCCATCCCTGCTCTCTACATCTGGTTTGGGATCAGAGTATTTGGAATATGCCTCAGTAATGAGTTCCTCCGGGAACTCTTTGTCCCTAAATTTATCAAGGAGAAGTTGACTTGATGTAACATAGTCGATATCCTGTGTACAATTCCTTTTTAGCCTACAGAATTGACTCTATATGGTATATTCTTTTTCCGCCGGGGGTGATGGCAACTATTGTAATGTAAATATGAATTCCCCCCGTAGGTTTAACATGGTTGCTGGTGACTATTTTCTGGTCTGTGAAATATAGCTCAAGATCCAGAAACACTAATCTAGTGCTATTGACCTCGTGCGTAAAGGACAGACCAAAGTTGTTATCATTACAATGTGTTCGAAAATCGGAGACGCGTTTTCAGGAGGGCCATCCCAGATGATTAAGATGTCGTCGATGTTTCTAACGTAATATATGAGCCTCCTGGCAAAGGGTATGTGTTCCCAGATGTGCAGAGCTTCCCAATGGCCCATGGTCAGGTTAGCATAACTGGGGGCATAATTGGCCCCCATTGCAGTCCCTTGGGTCTGAAGGTAGAATTTTCCCAGGAAGGAAAAATAATTGTGTGTTAATGTAAATTCAGTGCAATTTACAAGGAACTGGACCTGATTGTGGTTAATCGACGATTGTCACAAAAAGAATTGTAAGGCATTGAGGCCCACTGGATGGGGGATGGATGTATATAGGGAGCTCACATCCAGGGAGACCCAGCTGTAATTCGGGTCCCATGTGTACGTGTATAAAATGTTGATCAGATGTCCCGAGTCTTTGATATATGATGGGAGTAAAGACACTATTGGTTGTAAAAAGTGATCTATGTATTTTGAGAGACCGCTTCTCAGACTATTAGTACTTGCAATGATTGGTCGTCCGGGGGGATTTTGGCTTATGAATCTTGGGAAGATGATAAAAATATGGCGTATTTGGGTATTTGGCTTGTAAAAAGGACTTCTCTTTTTCATTGATGATTCCCTTATCATATGCGGGACTAATTAAACCTTCAAGTTCTTTTGAAAAACTTGGTAGGGGATCTGCTGGGAAGAGTTTGTAGGTACTTGAGTCCGAAAGCAATCTCAAGGCCTCTTGAATGTATGTGGGGCGATCTTGAATGACTATTCCTCCTCCTTTATCGGCTTGCTTAATCAGAATACTATGATTGGATTCTAGATCTTTAAGCACCCTGTTTTCAAGGGGGGTGAGGTTGTGATGATGTTTCGCTTTTTCACACACTTCCAGCAAATCTGCATAGACCACATGATAAAATGTGTCTATGAAAGGACCCTTAGAGTGTGTCGGGAAAAACGTGGATTTTGGTCTAAGGGTGGTTTGTATTATTTCGGGATTTTAGAAGGATTTAAAATCCAATTCAAAGGTGGAATTCTGACCGACTAATTCATAGAGTGTTTGCAAAACATCTCCATCTTGTTTCTCAAGAGTGTCTAGTGCAACCTCTAGTTCAAGGGGAATGTTGGGGAGGGCCACCGTGGAAGGAATCATAGTGGTGGTATTGGAATAGTGTCTTCGAAGAGTCAAATTCCTGATGAATCTATTGAGGTCCTTAAAAAGAGTGAACGTGTCTGGTTTTGCATCTGGGGCAAAGTTGAGACCTTTATTCAGTAATTACATTTTGCTTGGAGTGAGGCTATGTTTGAATTGAAATTGAAAATTTTTATTGTGGAGTTTTTGGTGATTCCTTTTTTTTGTGGCATTTTTGCTACTTTTTCCTCCTCTAATTCCTCTTCTCGTTCTTTTCATTTGATGTTTAGAGACATTAGAGGTCCCTGCTCTAAAAAATAATTAGTAGAGATATTTAGAGGCTCGTGCTGTTGGATTTGCGTTGCTGTGTTCAGAGGCATTGGAGGTCCCTGCTCTACAAAGCCGTTGGTGGAGGTATTTAGAGACTCATAAAGTTGGATGTGCGTTATTGTAGATACATCTAGGGCTTCTCTTTGATTGTCAGAGGGTTGTATGTGGATTGGTGTAGTGGTTATTGCTTTATTGTTGTTTTGTCCACGGAAGCCTGAGCTGGTCCGGGAATGTAATGAAGGGAATCATCGTCCCATATAAGGTCTGCCACTCTGGCAGATGGTACCGGATGTATGGCTAGAAGGGAAACTGGATTGGGTTTGTACATGGAATGATGTCAGGATGCATGTTTCCAACTAAAAACTCTATTCAGATTGTAATCTGCAATGTCTCTAAGTACCTTCTTAAATTTGGACCTAATGATATTGTGTTCATGCACACTGGTTTTGTGTTCTAAATTGGCTAACCAGGGGCTGAACAAGCATGAGGTGCCAAAGGAATCTTTTAATGGTGGTTCGTAAATCCTGTACTATCCTAGTGGTGTGTTGTAATTTGCGTTTTCTCTGAATAATGATGAGCTCGATCCACTTTTTGGTGCAGAACTCCGCCAGGAGCTCCCAATTTGAAGCGAAGTCCTGCTCCAAAAAGTCACAAGTTTTGTGAATGCGGAGTCCTCTCGGAGTGATGCCTAATTTTATGTATTTTTCTAGGAAGGATATATCCCACCAGTGTTGGCTTACTAAATTGATCTGAGTCTGTAGTTTTAAAAATAGTATGCGCATATTTTGCTCAAAAGAGGGGGAGTGTGGTGGGGCTGGTGACCATGGGTGTATTTGGTCACAAGCAAATGTTTGGGGGGCCTGGGGAGTTTTAAAATATTAGGGTACAGTTTGTCATTTGGAAAAATAAG